CGGGGCGTTCACCGGTGACGCTGGTGAAGTTTTGCTCGCCTTTCTCGCCGTCGTAGAAGAAGCCGGCCACAGTCTAGGACAGCACCTTATGGTTGTTGGAGATGAGGCGGTTCCAGTAGCGACAGACACATTTGCAGCACAACAAGGAGCGAGCGGGGAGGCCGCGGAGTTTCTCCAAAACAACATCCTGTGTGAGGCTGGCTAGTGCATTCCTGTTGTTGGGGGCCGTCTCCATTTCAAAAAGCCTGCAATCGTCATTGCATAGTAGGATGAGAGCATCCTTAGTAATGAGATCATTAAAGAGGAAAATAATCCGACAAAGATCCATCAGTGCAGTGCGAAAGCATTACCCTTGCCTTTGGATCTGGAGGCGGCGTGGCGCGAGACGTGCAATGATTCACATAAATTGCAAGAGGAACAATACGTCGGCCGTGTGGGAGGTGGCGGTGGCGCTGCGCGAGGCGTGCAATGGTTTACATAAACTAGGAGAGAGGAACAATGCGCCAACCTTAAAGATGGAGAAGTGGAATGGTGATGTAACTGTGTTATGGGTAGTTGGGAAAAACTCGCTCAATTTACTACCGTTGGTAGACCAAACGGTCGTGTAGGGCCGACGGCCAGAACGCCTATCCAATCGGCTCGGCTTTTCATGCGATGGAGAAAATACCACTGTTGCATCTATTGTTGACCCATGGGTGGTAGAAGTTTCAACTGCCGGTTTCCTTCCTCAGGAGGCCTCGCCATCTTTCCAATCAGCGGTGGAAGCACAACACAATCGCTTCTATCGCTACGGCAGTGAAAGTGACGATAGTGATAAATCAATCTGTAGTAGTGAATTCTTTTTGCCTGTGAGTTTTTCGGCATAAATATATCTTTGACTGATTTTTTTAACGGTAAGCTCACACAAAAATTGTGTGTCCTCAGGTTTAGGAAACCGTCAAGCTAAATGTTTTTTCGTCAAGGATATAAGTTAAATGCTTGAGCTAGCGGGAGAGGTGTGGATCCTTGGGGGCCAATCGGTGGCGATGAGGACACGGCCGATGGTGGCCAGGAGGATGCAGCCGAAGGTGCCCGTGAGTTGGAGGAGACACTGCGTTCTTGAGCATAGGTCAGGGAGTAATGTGAGGGAGCGGCGGCGGATGGTGGATTGGGAGAGAAGGGGATAAAGTTTCTGAAAAAAAGAAAGGATAAGGAGAGGGCTTTTGAAGGGATTTTTGTCTTTGGAGGTGTGAATCATAAAAAATAATGCGCACACAGCCAAATTTTCAGTATCACTAATTACCCTGTGTCAAATTTGACAGAAAAATCATAAAGCGCATAGAATAATTTGATTACCTTGTGAACCAATTTTCCTGTGTGTTCCATCAGAACCTACAGGGGTATTTCATTTTCCCTGTGAGGCAAGTGGACTCACAGGTTAAATATTAATTTCCTTGCGAGTTCTTTTGTACTCGACGGAAAAAAAATAACCAGTGCACAGGAAAAATGCAGTTTCCAATAGTGCCTATATATTCGCTCCGTTCCAAATTATAAGACGTTCTGATTTTTCTAGATACATAGTGTTATGTACTAAGATATATTTTATGTCTAGATACATAGCTAAAGCAATGAATAAAAAAACAAAACGTCTTGTAAATTAGAGGGAGTAGCATTCTACGAGTGGGTGGGATATGACACCTTTTACAAATCGTCATCCAAGTGTTCTAATTACATCGGATCAGTAGGGACCTCCTCTGAGAGCTCATCTAAGGTTTCTTACACAGGGAAGAAAAATATTAGACCTAGGACCTGTTTGGCAGAGATTTACCATGGAAAAAGTGAATCTAGATCTAGGATTCATCATGGATTAGATCCACCGTGGATCTGAGATCCACTAGAAAACTGTTTGGCCAATGCAGCAGCTCCAGATCCACACAAGGGCATTTTCGTTGGAATGGCCAAAATTGCCCTCGGGCTCTAGCGTTCTCTCTGTCTCGCTACTAACCTGGCCCGCATGTCAGCTCTTCTTTCCTCCTCTTCCTATCGAGCAGAGCAGAGCGCAACGCACGCACGCCTCGCCGGAGCTCGCAGCCGTGGACGGCCTCGCCGGCCTGGGGAGGGGCAGCACAGGCGAGGCCGCCCTGGGGAGGGGGTGGCGCAGGCACGGCCGCCCTGGGAAGGGGTGGCACGGGCGCAGCCCACTCGAGGACGAAGGAGCTCGTCGCAGGTGAGGGCGCGGCGGGCGCCGTGAAGGAGCTCGAGCAGCCGGCCATGGAGAAGACGGCGGTGAGGGCGTGGAGGAAGAGCAGGAAGAGGTCGTGGCCGGATCTTGCCAGGGTGCCTGTAGCTAGATCTTGCCCGCCCCGCCGCGCAGAGGTGGTCATGGCGCGCGTGGCCAGGGCATGGCAGCCGAAGCTCGCCAGGGCACGGGCCCAGCGTCTCGCCGGCGCAGCCATGGTGCGGCCGGAGCTCCCAGGCAGCGGCGGTGTTTTTTTCGCACGGGAGAGAGAAAGGTGCGGGAGGAAGAAGAGAAAGGAAAAAGAACGAAGGGTACGTTTGTGTAATCAGTGGCAGTGGTGGGTAATTTTTCCTAAATCCATCAAACTCAGTTTGGTGGAGCACCCCCTAAGGAGATCCACCAAAATGATGAATCCAACCTCGAGATCCACTATTTTGCTGAATTCGGAATTGCTGGATCTAAAGTGTTTGGGAAATTTTTGGTGGATCCAAGCTCCTGAATCTGAATCTGATGAATCAGGATCCCTACTAAACAGACCCTTAAGCTACAATAGAGAAATAAAAAAGAACCAAAAAGACAAATATATAAGATAAAAAATGCACTAAACATACCTCTATTGCGCAACGCTCAATTTTTACTAAAATTTTTAATACAAATTTCATAATTTTGGAGTTAAAAATGAAATAATTATGTATTTCCAAAGATTATATCAGGTTCTAATCATTTCTAGAAGTTTTTAGATAATGCTTTTTAAGAAGAAAAAAAAGTCTAGGGAGCAACACATGGCATCACAATGGCCTGACATGTGGTGGACTGAGGGCGTGGCTAGCCCTGGGCAAATTTAACCGAAAACCGAACCGAAAGAACCGGAACCGAAACAGAAAGAATCGAAACCGAAAAATTCGGTTCCTTATTCAGTTTCTGATATTGAGGAACCGAAATAACCGAAGAAAATTCGGTTCCTACTCTCGGTTAACCGAATTAACTGAAAGAACCGAATTACATAAATTATACTTCACTTACTTGTATTTTATAGGATTATGTTTGGTTTATGTGTAGTGTTTTATGTTTGAACTGCTATATATTTGTGTTACTATATTGCTATTGTTTTTTTTATATATTATTATTATTAAAAATGAATATAGTGTTGCATAAATTTGCCTTAGAATAAGTATATTTATTATTGTCTTGAGGTCTTCTGAAAAAATTTGGTTAGTTCGGTTAGAACCGGAACCGAACCGAAATAACCGAGAACCGAAATGCTCGGTTCCTAAAATTTTTTGGAACCGATTAATTCCCGTTTTATAGGAACCGAATTTCATCAATAACTGAGAGAACCGAACCGAAACCGAATCGAGAACCGAACGCCACCCTGAGGCTGTGGCGTTGGGCTGTTGGGGTGGTACGGGTCCTGCTAACGTCATGATGAAGTTAGCCGTAGGTTCGACCGAACGGTAACTCGGTAAGATCCACCAATCAATGGTTAGTAGCTACAGTGCAACGTAAGAGTGAAATTCACTAGTACAGAAAACTATTTCTACTGGTGCCACTTTTTCTCATTGGTGACAGCTTGAGAATTGCTAATACAAACTAATTCATACCGGCGCTTGACTTAATCTTGTTGTCAGTGTAAAATGATTTACACCGACAGCAGGCTTAAACTAACTGCATGTGTAAACGATTTACACAGATGGTTTATGTAATACAACTATCTCTGTTAATTAACTTCTAGAGTCAGCTAAATAACATAATGTAAAGATAACTTTTAAAATTCAAATGTTCCTGTCACATAGTATTATTTAAATAGTCATCACAGTCAACTATAACAACATAACAAACATACATCACAAGCAAATATATTTCCAGTGTTCGTATGGGTATTTGTACCGGCGGAGGAAAACCGCCGATGGAAATATATCTTCAGTAGCGGTTCATAGCGATGGGCCACACTTCAGTTTCTATCGATGCCTATTCTTTATGAACTGCAATGAAAAAAACCCACCTCAACAAAAACCATTTTCCTACTAGTCCCTCCACCCTGAAGTATAATGTATTGAAGCACTCAAAATTTGTCCGAAATTATAAGATATTATAGGTGAATTAACTTCTCCAAAACACCAATCATATTGTACCTGCCATTATTGTCTATCAGCATCCTCAAAATATGATAAGCACGAGATCTCTCTATAGTTAAGGAAGGATTTTACATTATCATTATAAACGTCTAGAAACTACCCCTTGAAACGTCTAGAAACGTGAGTGCAAATTGAGTTGGAGACTCAAAAGCAGGATTCACCAAAATAACTCAATTCGTGCTCATTTATATTTATTTATTAAATAGACGAACGACAATCAGCCTGTTCGGTAGGCCGAATCGTGTCGTGGATTATTTACTGCTGGCTGGTTTGGTGTGAGGGAAAAACACTGTTCCTAGCTGGAAATTTACGATCGTTTACGAGCAAGCGAACAGGCTGAATTTTTTTTAACCAAACAATGAGTGCACACAAGCAGCTCCCTTAACCAAATTTGTCCAAGAAGACAAGTTTTATTTCGAGGATGCAGGACAGCATCTCTGGAACACCCTGACTCTGACTATAAGAGAGTACAAGTACATACGTATCTAGTGAGACACCCAGCCATATCATACTGGAGTTCCACATGTATGGTAATCACAAGTCTCGTTTACTGGCGACACACACAGACACTGACACGTCACCGTCACTTCCCACAGACGTCGTGCTAACTCCGACGCGGATCATGCACTGATGCTCAACTAGGCAGCTCATGGCAGAGTGTAATCTGTAAAGAATAGGAGTATCACACACTCACAGATCAATCTATTCTGCTTATACCACTGACAATTCTTGGATGATGAGGCAATTGGAGCAGACATTGTTGCTTACCTCCGCACTTGTAGCCAATGGGGCGGTCGACGAGGTTGCAGCGCTTGGGGATGGTGATGGCCACCTCGGGCTTGATCCCAGCGCTCTTGGCGGTTTTGGACAGCATGACGGCGCAGAGGCACTTGGGGCTCTGCTTCCCGATGCTGTGCACCGCGTTGCAGCAGGAGCTGGACGGCGCGGAGTTGGGGTTCTGCGCCGCTGACGCGCACGGCGCCAGCTTCAGCGCCATCCTGTCCGGCGGCGTCACCCCGCACTCGCCCGCGCCCTCCGCGCCGCGGACGGCCACGAGGCACGCAGCGGCCGCGACCAGGGCGAGCACCAGGATGCCCCTCATCACGATCGTCTTGTCTCCTACTCCCACTGCCACCGGCTGCCTGCGTCAACACGCTCGCTGCTCGTGTGGTGCAGTGCTTGGTTGCTTCTCGGATGACTTGTGTATGGCTTCATGGCCGCTGCGCTGGGTTTATATAGTCCGACCTCATGATGGCCGGAGTCCGGAGAGGATCGGTGGAGCGAGCACTAGCGCGCACCGTCCAGCGGCGTGGCAGCACGGGGCTCACCGTCCAGTACCGGCGCGCTAGCTCGCCCGGCTTCAGTGCGCTGGTGGGTAGCTGTCTCGGCGGGTCATCCCTTAAGGAACAGAGATTGAGCGCCATGGCATGTTATATTGGGCGCCGCGTGCGGATGGCACGTCGGCCACCCGATCAGCACGCGCCGCCGCTTTGCGAGCTCGTTGAATTATGATCCAAATTTAGTTATGTATGAGATAAAGGCTAATTTCTGACAGAGCAAAGCGAGGCCCGTCGTGCGGATGGCACGTCGTTGCATGCTGTCCAATGCTCGTATGAACAGGTGTTTTTGGGCTGAGGCTGCTAACACCACCTGTTACTTGATCAACCGGTCACCTTCTATCCCACTTAATAAGAAAACTCCCATTGAGGTATGGTCTAGTATGCCTGCTGATTATTCACAGTTGAGAGTTTTTTGTTGCACTGCTTATGCTCATGTTGATAATGGAAAGCTAGAACCTAGAGTCATTAAGTGTCTGTTTCTTGGTTATGGTTCTGGAGTTAAAGAATATAAGTTATGTAATCCTGAAACTAAAAAGACTTTTATGAGCAGGAACATTGTTTTCAATGAATCTGTTATGTTTAATGATAGCTTGTCCACAGATGTTTCTCCAGTTGGTTTTGATGAGGGGCACCAACATGTTAGCGTGCAGGTGGAGCACGTAGATGATCAAGAAACTGAAATTGTTGATAACAATGTTCATGATATTGTTCAGCACTCACCTCCTGTTTTGCAGCCTCAAAATCAGTCTATTGCAGATCACAGAACAAAGAGGAATTGTGGACCTCGTCCATGTTTAATTGAGGAATGTGATATTGTTCATTATGTCTTTAGTTGTGCTGAACAGGTGGAGAACATTCATGAGCCGGCTACGTACACTGAAGCTGTTGTTTCTGGTGACCGCGAGAAGTGGATTTCCGCTATGCAAGAGGAGATGCAGTCACTCGAGAAAAATGACACATGGGATGTTGTGCACTTGCCTAAACAAAAGAAGGCCGTTCGTTGCAAATAGATCTTCAAGAGAAAGGAGGGTTTATGTTCCAGTGAGCCTCCAAGATTTAAGGCAAGGTTAGTAGCAAAAGGTTTCAGTCAAATTTCTGGTGTTGATTATAATGATGTGTTCTTTCCAGTTGTAAAGCATAGTTCAATTCGTATATTTTTTTGTATTGTTGCTATGTGAGATCTTGAGCTTGAGTAGTTAGATGTAAAGACTGCGTTTCTACATGGAGAGCTCGATGAGGAGATATACATGGAACAGCCAGAAGGGTTCATAGTACCTGATAAGGAGGATCATGTTTACAAATTAAAGAGATCCTTATATGGTTTGAAGCAGTCTCCTCGTCAATAGTATAAAATGTTTGATTCTTTTATGATGTCACATGGTTTTAAAAGGTCTAAATTTGATAGCTGTGTGTACATTAAATTTGTTGATGAATCACCTATATACTTACTGTTATATGTTGATGATACGTTGATTGCTGCCAAGAGCAAGAAAGAAATCACTACATTGAAGAAACTATTGAGTAGTGAGTTTGAGATGAAGGATCTTGGTGCTGCTAAGAAAATTCTAGGTATAGAGATTACAAGAGACTGAAATTCTGGTTTGTTATTTCTTAGTCAGCAAAGTTACATTAAGAAAGTTTTTTATCATTTCAACATGCATGATGCAAAGTCTGTTAGTACTCATATTGCTCCTCATTTTAAATTATTAGTTTTACAATGTGCTAGTACGGATGAGGATTTTGAGTACATGTCAAGAGTTACATATTCTAGTGCTGTTGGTTCTTTGATGTATGCCATGGTTTGCTTTCGTCCTGATTTATCATATGCTATGAGTTTGGTTAGTAGATACATGGCTAATCCTGGTAAAGAACATTGTAAGGCTGTTCAATGAATTTTTAGGTACCTTCGTGGTATAATAAATGCTTGTTTGAACTTTGGCAAGACTGATGAGGGACTCACTGGCTACGTGGATTTAGACTTTGCTGCCGATTTGGATAAGAGGAGATCTCTCACAGGTTATGTGTTTACTATTGGTGGCTGTGCTATGAGTTGGAGGACAACATTGCAGTCCGTTGTTGCCCTGTCTACCACTGAAGCAGAATACATGGCTCTTGCTGAAGCGTGTAAAGATTCGGTTTGGTTGAAAAGTTTGTTTGCTGAGCTTTGTGGAGATGATTCTTGCATTAATTTGTTTTGTGTCAGTCAAAGTGCTATACGTCTCACTAAAGATCAGATGTTCCATGAGAGAATGAAGCACGTTGATGTCATATACCATTATGTTTGCGATGTTGTCGCGCAAGGTAAGCTAAAGGTATGCAAAATAAGCACACATGATAATCCTGCTGATATGTTGACAAAGCCAGTTCCTGTTGCTAAGTTTGAGCTTTGCTCTTAAGCTTAATTGGTATAACTATTTAGCCAAGAGGCTATTTGGCGCTGGAAGTATTTCTTTGTTGTTTCAGAGTGAAGGTTCATTTTATGCTACAAGAAGGAATTTGTCTCAAGGTAGAGTTTGTTGATTTGTGATCCAAATTCAGTTATGTACGGATCGTCGCCTGTTAGGGTTCTTCCATCTCTATATATACTTCTTGTAAGCCGTCGTCTTGGGATAAGAAAAGTTGTAAATCCTCGACGTTTGTAACCTCACCCGATATAGTGAAGATTTGCTGGCTGGTGCTCGTGATTTTTCCCTTCTTCCTTGAGATGGTTTTTCACGTTAAAATCTCGTGTCCCCCTGTGTTTGATCTACTGTTCTTCGTTATTTATATTGCCTATCGTTTCTAACCGCGCTTAAACAGTTTAGTAAGAGTTGTGAAGCGGCTGTCTAAAACGATCATTTCAGTGGATGCCATCATTTGTTGTTCAAGGTATTAAATGTGCTTGGTTCACGACATTAGTGTAACCAAGCCAAATCTCAGCATGGCCAACTATTAAGACGTGACCAAAAACATGGCCAAAACTATAATGTTAGAATGCTACCGAACAAGTTATGCGAAAATTCTCAAACATGTGAATATGCGCCACTATAACGGTTTAAAGCTTCGAACCATACTAACCAGAGAAGTTGCAAGATATTGCAATCGGATTGCAAGTCACTCATTGTTTAGAAGGAAAATCAAATAAACAGAGAAATTAATGCACCCAATCCAATGCTGCCACATCAGCAGAGAAGCTAAGCCAAGGGACAACCGGTTTCCTCCTGTGAGTGACGCCCGGCCAGGAATATTGTTGGTGCATTGGCTAGTTTTTTTAAGACAAAATTAAGAGTAGCTCCAACCAATTGAGTAAACTCAATTCTTCAGCCAATTTTTGGCTTGTCACAAACCTTAAAAATTGCTATTGCTGTGCTTATCCTTGCAAATAAAATTAGCGGGTGTTTGTCAGCTTTCTTTTTTTTGTGACTGTTTGTCAGTTTTCTTGTGGTGGCCATGGTGGTCGTTCCATCATTCGAGTAAGGCTCAATTTGAATATACAATGTATTTTATGAGTTAGTTATGAAAATATTATAGTTTTTTAGTATATCTTATATGCTTATGTTGTCTTTAGCACCGTGAAATGTTGAACTACATTTATTTCGCATTTTGTTACGTAGGAACTTTATTTAGAGCTTCTCATGCTTTTGATTCTTCATGGAAATTGGGAAGTGATTTTCCTAATTAGATAATTCCGTGGCTAAATGTGATTCTCAATACACTTTATGTAAGAATTGATTATGTGCAGGAAGTGAACAAGAAAAAAAACTAATTTTGTCAACCCCTGGGATCCTAGTTCACTTAATTGAATCATTAATTATAATAACTTGTTTAACAGAACTTTAGATCTAGCCTAAAAATTAGCCTATGAGCTCTCCAAACAGGTCTTAAAACCATGCAAGATACACAAATTGACGACGTTGAAGAAATATAGTGTAGATCGAAGTGACACTTGAAATTTTAGAAACCACGTTTTATGTCACGTCACACCGTGGAAATATACGTTTAAGCAAATTTTCTCTGCATAACGACTATTTGTAGATGCATTATGCAAAAAATGGAAGAGTTCAATCAATGTACATGTCCTTAAGGGCACGTCCAATGCAGCCTAGACTCGTTGGCGCTTAAGACCATTAGCCACGGTGGTGCATTGGGGTGCGTTGATTGATTATGTCGCGGTTCACTATATTCGTTTTGTTTGAAACTGTAGTTCCTTTAAAAATAAAGAATTTTCTTTGGTAGGTGGTTATTTTACCATTGGCAGTTTCATTAAAAGATGACATGCAGCAAGAGATGTTTCCTTGTAACCGTGATAAGACAATTAAACATCTTGCTTTTTTACAATCAATGTGCTAAGTTTCTTTAGAGAATTATTTATATTTTTTGGTTTTGACCCACATAATAGTAATCAAGGCGTGTTTGGTTCTTTTCTATATTGAGTGGACTAGAATACAAAGCATTAGATCTTGGTGGAAGTCAATGCTCTATACTGAGTACTATGACTTAGTAGAAACAACATTGTATATTTATATCTAACATTCAAGAAAATTTCTCTCATTTATTATGTCGCTCCTTCACTCTCAACCTCTCTTGTTTCGTCACTCACTCTCCCACTTTTCCCGCTTTGAAGCTCGTGTCTTTCACCCTTCTTTTGTTCCTTGATCTAGTCGTCTGAAGCTACAAAACCACACGAGCATTTGAGTCGTCTTCCATATTTCTTAACCTTACAATAGCTACGCACAACAACCATCTATTTAAGTTGAGTCATGTCCAATAAATTTTCCATATA